TGTGCAGGGATTTGTGGGTGAGAGGAGGGAGTTGCAGTAATCCAAGCGTGAAGTGATGAGACTATGGACAAGGATAGCAGTGGCATGGGGAGTAAGGGAGGGGCGGAGGCGGTTGATGTTGTGTAGGTGGAAGTAAGCAGACCGGGTGATGTTGTTGATGTGAGATCGGAAGGAAAGTGTGCTGTCGAGGATGACACCCAGACTCTTAACCTGTGGGGAGGCGAAGACGGAGCAGTTGTCAATGGTGAGGGGGAAACTGTCAGTTTTGGAAAGTGTTGACTGTGTGCCAATGAGAAGAATCTCGGTTTTATCAGAGTTGAGTTTCAGAAGATTTGAGGTGAACCAGGATTTTATTTCAGTTAAGCAGTCAGTAAGGGAGGAGGGTGGGAGGTTGGCAGTGGGTTTGCTAGCGAGGTAGAGCTGGGTGTCATCCGCGTAACAGTGAAAAGTGATGTTATGTTTGTGGAAGATGCTGCCAAGGGGAAGAAGATAAATGATGAAGAGGAGGGGCCCCAGGACAGAGCCCTGGGGCACACCTGAAGTAACAGGGGAAGGTTGGGATGTGAAGTGTTTGAGCTGGATGAACTGAGTGCGGTGAGAGAGACACGATTTAAACCAGTCTAGAGGAGTATGAGTGATGCCGATGGAGGATAGTCTATTGAGGAGGGTGGTGTGACAGATGGTGTCGAAGGCTGCACTGAGGTCAAGGAGGATGAGGATGGAGAGTAAACCAGAATCAGCTGCCATGAGGAGGTCGTTGGTTATTTTTGTGAGTGCAGTTTCTGTGCTGTGGAGAGGGCGGAAACCAGACTGGAACTGTTCATACAGGTTGTTGTGTGATAGATGGGAGTGGAGTTGAATTGCTACTGTTTTTTCAAGAATCTTGGAAATGAAGGGGAGATTAGAAATTGGACGTAGGTTATTGAAGTTGGTGGGATCTGCACCGGGTTTTTTCAGAATTGGGGTAATTGCAGCGGTTTTGAATGGTGTAGGAACAGTTCCAGTGGAGAGAGAGGAGTGGATGATGGAAGAGATGAGAGGGACCAGGGAAGGGAGGCAGGCTTTGACCAGAACTGTGGGGAGAGGGTCGAGCTGACAGGTGGATGGGTTGGACTTCCGGATAAGATCTGAAATTTCTGAGGTGGTGGGGAGCTGGAAGGAGGAAAAAGAGTGGGTAGGAGGGGGAAGTTCGGGTACGACATTGAGGGTGGGTTGTGAGCTGAGTTGCTGGTGGATCGTCTGTATTTTCTGACTGAAGAATGACATGATGGAGTTACAGAGAGCAGTAGAACAAAGGTGAGTTGGTACAGATTCCGGGGCTTGTGTGATATTCTTATACAGTGAGAACAGTGATTTGGTGTTACTTTCATTGGAACAGATAATACCGGTGTAGTAGTTTGATTTGGTTTGAGTAATGCAGTCCTTATAGTGTAACATATGGTCTTTGTAAATGTCTTTGTGAATATGAAGTCCAGTTTTTCTGTCCGGTTTTTAGTGGAGCAAGGGAGTTGAGTATGTGATGGAGTCCAGTGTTGTAGTGTGAGACCAGCTGTTCAAGGGTGGATGAATTCTGAGTAGCCATGTGGGAGTCGATACAGGAGGAGAGGGAATCTAAGTTAATGTCCTTAATATTGCGAAAAGAAATGAGGGGTTGTGGGGTTCCCAACCGGAAGGTGGGGGTTCCCAACCGGAAGGTGATGATACAGAAGAATTATCTTACTCCTAGTACTGCTTCCCTTGTGTGAGAGTGTGAGTGTGTTTGTGTACTTGATTTATCTTGTCATTTAGTGTAGGTTAAGTGTCTGTATTGTCCTGTGTTTGTGTATGTATCTGTTTCCCTCAGGGTAGGGGTTGGTGGGTGGAGGGTGGGTTATAGAGTATGGTCATAAATTTCATGACTTTCAAGAAGAATGGTGTACAGTTATGTCCTTGTTTATAATTGCTGTCCTTATTTTTGAACCTTTAAGATGTACACTTGTCATGAAATATTGATCATGGGAATAACAATAAAAATATTGAACAAGAAAACTTTTTTGCGGTCATTATTGTTACCGGTGGTATTAAGTGCGTTAATTAATGAACTAACTGAACAGCTGCTCTGCTGCTACACAATATGATTTTAAATGTTTCCATCTTCATCAACCATTTAAAAGAGGGGGTGGTATAGCTGTTACTTTTTGTTTTGTTTTGTTTTGTTTTGTTTTGTTGTTTTTACAAGAAATGTTTGAAGTGCTCTCTCATTTCCTTTGGTAATTTTATTTCATTTGAAATCCTATGCGTTTTTTTTTCTTGTTTTTTTTTTTTTTTTTTTACCACAGGTCATGTTTATGTCCCTTTCTTTATTGTAGTTCATAGATTACCACAGTACAACAATTTTTATTACCGACATTTTAGAACTCTTATCAATTGTTTTATCTAAGGAGAACTGAGTGCTTATTCTGGGTAATTTTAATATCCATTTATGTTGCCATTCATACCCCATGTCTGGTGACTTGACATAGTGGATTCTTTGAATCTTGCATCATTTAGAGGTGCTGCACAGTCCAAAAGTCATATTCTAGACTAGATACTCTATTTGGGTTTCTGCCCAGAGAATACGTTATCACCCTGTTCCACCCATGGCCACATCTTTCTGGCTTTATGTTTTACAAAGACCTCATTTTGGGGGTGTTAATGCCTGTTCAGCGTCCTCAATGTTTTCTGAAGGCCCCTTGGGGTCAGTACTAAATGGAGCTACATTAGGGTCAAAAGTTTTGTACTTGAAAAAATAAAATTTGAAACTGAAAATTCATGTGTTGATCTTGAATTTTGAAAAATACAACAATGTATTCAAAATAAAAATAAGCCTATATGAAAGGTTTTTTCAGGTTAAATATAATTTTGATTCACGTTGGTAATTCTTTTGAATGAATAATTNTTACAGAGAGCAGTAGAACAAAGGTGAGTTGGTACAGATTCCGGGGCTTGTGTGATATTCTTATACAGTGAGAACAGTGATTTGGTGTTACTTTCATTGGAACAGATAATACCGGTGTAGTAGTTTGATTTGGTTTGAGTAATGCAGTCCTTATAGTGTAACATATGGTCTTTGTAAATGTCTTTGTGAATATGAAGTCCAGTTTTTCTGTCCGGTTTTTAGTGGAGCAAGGGAGTTGAGTATGTGATGGAGTCCAGTGTTGTAGTGTGAGACCAGCTGTTCAAGGGTGGATGAATTCTGAGTAGCCATGTGGGAGTCGATACAGGAGGAGAGGGAATCTAAGTTAATGTCCTTAATATTGCGAAAAGAAATGAGGGGTTGTGGGGTTCCCAACCGGAAGGTGGGGGTTCCCAACCGGAAGGTGATGATACAGAAGAATTATCTTACTCCTAGTACTGCTTCCCTTGTGTGAGAGTGTGAGTGTGTTTGTGTACTTGATTTATCTTGTCATTTAGTGTAGGTTAAGTGTCTGTATTGTCCTGTGTTTGTGTATGTATCTGTTTCCCTCAGGGTAGGGGTTGGTGGGTGGAGGGTGGGAAACAATCCTAAAAACAATCCTAAAACATCTCCCTACTCACCTGGTGCCACAAAAATCACCTGGAGCCAGGTCAGGTGAGTAGGGAGGTGTGTTAGGATTGTTTCCTTTTCCCCAAGCTCAAAGGTTTCATCCAGGGGACACGTTTACTGGATGTGGAAGCATCAACAGGGCCATGATGATGGAGTTGTGGACAATCACACTTTCCAGCTCTGACAAATTCACCACTTAAAAGACGTCACAGAAAAAATGTATGTTGTCACAAAAACAACCCCTTAATATTTGTTATGATTTCCCAAAACTTAGTTAACATTTCTCACTTGTGTGCTGGATGTATGGGCTCCAGCAGATTGACCCGACCGACCGGACGCCATCATCGCAAGCAAAGTGGACACTACACTGCGTTCACAGTGCTATGTGCAAATCAGACATATCAGCACTTAAAATGTGGCTGTTGAACTGCAAAATCTGGCATAATTTATCGCTCTTATACCGCAATTGGTGCTCAGTACTGTCTAAAACAGATTTCTAAATGGAAGTTTGTCACTGGCATCAATTTTTACACTGCCAGTCACATGAATATGGTGTATATAAGTGTTGAGTCAGAATTTTTTTAGTTCCTACGTTCCCTGAAGGCACTGTCACTCATGATTCCACACCCCTCTCAGTTGATGCCACGCCCCCCATGCCACATCAGGGTCAAAAGTCTGAAACTCAAAAAACAGATTTGAAAGTGAAAAAAAAAAAGATCTGAAAGTGAAAAAAAGATTTGAAAGTGAAAAAATAAGATTTGAAACTGTAAAAAATAAGATCTGAATCTGAAAAGATAAAACATGCAACTGAAAAAAATAAGACCTCAAATGTTAAAATACATATGGAAGTGAAAAGTGAAAATAAATTATTCATTCAAAAGAATTACCAAAGTGAATCAAAATTATATTTAACCCAAAAAAACGTTTCATACACTTATTTTTATTTTGAATACATTGTTGTATTTTTCAAAATTCAAGCTCAACACATGAATTTTCAGTTTCAAATTTTATTTTTTCAAGTACAAAACTTTTGACCCTAATGTAGCTCCATAGTACTGCCCCTCTTGAGAAACAACTAATTGGAGCCTCATCAAACTGGTCAGCTGTGGCTCTGAGCTGAAGGAAATCCACAAAGGAGGGCTCAGCTTTCTCTTGTTGTTTGATGTTATAACCCCCCTCACAGCAACTCTCAGATTGCAGATTGCAGATTGTGCTCGCGTTGCCTTATGATTTTAGGTGACATACTCTATAATGCAACAACATGTGAGATGAATCTTGCGTAGCTCGAAGCATCTGTGTGTGTGTACCTGCATGGACCATGTTTCTGCCTTAAGGATTGAGGCAAGATGTTGTTTAATTCATCCAACAAAATGCTATACTCACGTGTTTATCTTTGCTTGAATAAAATTTTTTTTTTCTGCCTTTCTGCATCTGCATGTGTTTTGCTGTCTTACAGTGCAGCAAGACTCTAGGTCTCTGAGAGGAAGGCCTGGAGGCTCTGCAACAGTCAGGTCCTTCTGCCCTCTAACTGCCCGGGCACAGAGGAGGAGGGACAGAGAGAGGAGAGAGGAGGAACAGCAAAGGAGGAGGAGAGAGGGGGAGGAGAAGGACAGGAGAGAGGGAGCTGAGAGACACCTACAGAGACCTCCACAGCTCTCCCTACAGGTCAGGAGGACTAACAAGGTCTGATCATCCTTTCTACATTCTTCTGTGCCTGAAAGGTGTCTGGTTTTGTCATCAGTATGATGAAGATTGAATTTGACACAGATACACATACAGTTCAGCTGATTGTGGTGCAGCAAGATTAGCTCTTTTTATCTTCTTGATCACAAATTTATGATGACTTACTTATTTACTCCTCTTCATCCCCTATGGGACATAAGGCTTCAATGTCACAGTTCTGTGCCAGATGGTTTTGGGCCTCCAAGGTCTCCTTTTGTCTGGTGGTGTCCATCTTAAGGCAATGCTTGTGATCCGGCCCTGTTTAATTCTTAGCACATGACCTAACCAACTATTTAAGATTGCAGAGCAGCAAAAGTAGAAGCAAAATGCAGCCTTTTTCATGACATTTATCTGGGAAAGAAGTCCTGTAGGTTCCTGTATGTCACCACTGGCACTTACACTAGCAAAGGGTGCAGAGGTTGCAGGAGGTGTGGGCACACCTTGACCCAGGGCCTAAGGAGTCCAGTAGCAGTTTTTGCACAATGCAATCAAATGAAGGATGACAGCAATATGTGTAATGGTTAAGTTTAGTATTTTTATAACTCACCATATGTTAAAAAAAGAGTGCATCGACCTACCTTGTACTGGTACCTAACTGGTACCACCCAACGCTAATCCAGGATAGAAAATTGAGAATTGAAATAGGTAGAGCTGCCCCCTAAATGGCAGTTACTTGAATCAGTCTGAAATCACTCGGGTGAACTCTCATTTTATCATTCCAATCCTTGCACTTTTGTTTTGCTGTGTCTTTATACACAAAGCAGCACAGGATACTGTTTACAAACCAAGTCTTATCTCAAAATCACCTGATTTCTGTTTGCTGCTCTGATGCTCTCAACTCTGGTGCTGATGTGAGCAAAGTTAGCTTAACTACTTACTGACACTGGCACTGCTTCCTTTATTGACATCCAGAGTGATATAAACTTAAGCAGACAATGCTGTCATGAGCCAGTCAGGAGATTTTATTACTGAACTATGACCAAGACACACGGCTCAACGCTTCAGGCCCAAGACTAGCCGGATGCTTCAAAATAAAAGTACCAGTGGTTACACTTTGATTGTTTAATCATAAAAGTACTTTATTCAACTTTATTAAAACAGCATTTTATTGAACTTTTTTATAACAGTACTTTTTGAGATTTATTATGACACTAGCAAATTTATTTAACTTTGTTTTAACTGCAGCTCATTTAATAATTTTGTATTTTAGTAGTCTACAGTAGTTTAAAGGAGATTTCAAAATATTGTGATATATATTGTGTATCACGATATAGACTAAAAATATTGTGATATTATTTTTAAGCCACATCATCCGACCCTAGTTTGTTTGTACGTTTATAAATTTAAGCTCTCCAAAGTCAAGAACGACTGTGTTGCTTAGCAACATTGCATTGTGATAGTGTGGGCATTATAAAATTAGCAAAAACTGTGCAGACTGTCGCACAGTTCGCTTAATATGCGTTTGTGGGCTGCAGCCACTTTGGAGTTTATCTGTTTTATATAAATCTATGGACTTTATTATCATGGTGGAAAAACAATAGCTTAATAGCTTGCATGTCATGTGACTCAGTGGCTCCAAATCAATACTACATGTTAAAATTATGACTTAAGTGTGTGACTACATAGGCCACAGAATACATACCTCTTTATTAAGGCTTTTCAGACTTGCTCAATATTCTACAAATTGTTTAATCATATTTTTTTTTAATAACTTCCATGTTATATGTACCAAGTCTCAAATTCAGTTCTTGCATTGCTGCAAGTTCTTGCATACAGTACATGAACCAAAACATCAGGTGGCAAGGAGACACTCATACAGTCTGTGTGCCCACCAGAATGCTTTCAATCAATCAATCAATTTTATTTATAAAGCCCAATATCACAAATCACAATTTGCTTCACAGGGCTTTACAGCATACGACATCCCTCTGTCCTTATGACCCTCGCAGCGGATAAGGAAAAACTCCCCCCAAAAAAAACCCTTTAACAGGGAAACTGGTTGTTGTGCTTTTGTGATGAAGATGGGCCCTATGTGTTGTTTGCCTTGGTAATGTTTTTTTCTGCTGATGATTGTATATGAAGTGCTCTCTTAATGCCTATTTCCCCTCCTGCTGTGTCTGTATCACCCTTTTTATACCTCTGGGCCAGCAATAGCCAAGGCCGGAGGCATTATGTTTTAGCGTTATCTGTCCATTCGTCCTTTGTCTCATTTGCGATACCTCAAGAATTCCTCAAGGGAATTCACTTGGACTAAACAATGAACCGATTAGATTTTGGTGGTAGAACGTCAAGGTCACTTTGATCTTGCACCCATCTCATTCTAATGTAGTGATATCTCAAAAACACCTTGAGGGAATTTCTTCAGATTTGATACAAATATTCACTTAGGCTCAGCCATGAACTGATAAGAATTTGGTGGTCAAAAGAGGTCACTGTGACCACACAAAGCATATTTTTGGCGCCAAGTCAGAAATTACTTCGCTAATTATGACAGAATTTCACACAATTGTCTACTAGGATGTAATGTTGAAGTGATTAAATCAATATGCAAAAGGTCAAAGGTCAACTTAACTGTGACATCATAATGTTCTGCAAAAGCACTTTTCTGACCATTATTCAGCAACAGACGGGAAGACATTTGGTCAGATCCTGAACTGATGACACTGATCTTGGATGCCCACCTTGAAACTGTGTTGATTGTATAGATCTTCTGTGCTGCCAGGTGGTAATTGAGTTTAAGCCTCTTTTCTGGTTATTTCTAGTAAATTTATATGCCTTTTGCTGGTTCAGTGATGTGTCTTGGTACATAACTTCCACCAACTATCGATTTTTAGTTCAAAAAACAATCAGAAACAATGTGTTTTACAGATATAGAAAATGAGTTGTCCAACCACATCAGAAATCAAAAGTGTTTACCGCTGTTCTACCAGGGGTCCGTTTCACAAAGCAGGTTCAACAAACTCTGAGTCTAATTCTGAACTCTGAGTTGATCTACTCTGAGATAGGAAACTCTGAGTTTCCGGTTCCAGAACAGCTGATTTGAATCAGTTTAATCAACTCTGAGTAGTTTCACTTGGAGTTAAGCGTGTGCACCACAACTATAAAAAGCCAGCATCAATGGAGCCCCGATTCGACGAGTCACCATGGCAACAGGGAAGAGGAGGTCTGCGTTTTTCACCCCACTAGAATTAGAAATCTTAATGCGCTCATACGGCGAGTTTGCACACGTTTTCAAAAAGAAGTGCAACACCGCTGCAGCTGCAAAAGAGAGGGAGACGGCGTGGGAGAATGCGTAAGTTTAAATGTAGTCTTTGCAATCACAATAATATTACAGGGGAAAACTGCTTGAATGGTAGCCTATTAATTTATTTCATTTAGGTGCAATCCCGCAGGGGAGAAGCGCACTTGGCAGCAGTTTAGGATGAAATATAAAAACATTGTTCAAACAGGTAAGACTTCGGCATAATCTCATGGGGGTACCTCATTTTGATCATGTTTTACATTGTAAAGTAAATATTAAGTGGCTGTTTGACTGTGCAGTTGTTTTATCCCCAACATAATGCTGTTTTCACACACATAAATGTCTTCTTATCTATATCATGTTCTGTTAAATAATTAAGCCTATTTAAACTAACACAGACTTCTACTTAGCCAACAGAAAGAAGGCAGATGCCCGTAAAACGAGCACACTTTTCTGACCACCCTGCAGACAGTTGCCTTACTCAAGTGCTCAGCATCTCCGACATTGTACAAAAAACTTCCATTTGCAAAGAAACGCAGCGCAACACACAATATCTGCTGGGGTGTGAGAGCATGACTACGATTGGTATTGGTGTTGCAAATGTAAGGACGGATTAGGTTGTGTATGTAGATGATGGACTGTGACGTGAAATGGTACAGCTCAAAAAGATAATTGTGTGGAAATGCTAGAACATCTATGCGCGGTCTGATAACCATCTCCCGACGAATATTTAAGTCTCTGCGCAGTAATTCTGCACCTTCATCCACGGTATCGTTATCAAAAGGACATGCCATATTAGTGAAAAAAGTCACCACCTACTGTGCCTAATGGACTTCTAATATACTTACTCTGATTTTTTAAATGATTTTTTAAAATGACAGACGGCAGAACTAGGCTACGCCAAAACTCGCCTGCTGACTGAATGAATGAGGAAATCAAATGGAGTGTGTGGCTCTGAAAGAGGGAGGAGACGGAGAGAAACTCGAGGTTCATTGAGAAAAACCTGGTCCCGACCAGGTTAGGTTCATAGAGTCTGTTACTACGGTAACTGACCTACGGTAACTGACCGAGAGCTTAAGTTACCTCTCTCTCTGAAACAGGCTAGAGTTACCCCTCTTTCTCTGGTTTGAGTTACCTCCCTTTTTGAAACGGAAAACTCAGAGTTTCCATCATTTCAGGGTTAACAGACTCTGAGTTTTCACTAAACCTGCTTTGTGAAATGGACCCCAGATGTTTCAGATGAAAGCCAGCTGTTTTGCTGGCAGCCAGCTGACAGGTTTTGTTCAAATATGGGGACAACAGACGTTTCAGACATTTTCCGACAGCCTATGCTGGAAGACATTTATATGTTGTACTTCAGAAATGGTTAGACACACCCCTTCTTATACCACGTTGGAATGGATGGTTTGGGGAATGTCTGAAGCTATTCGACCATCCTACAAGCACCTTAAAAAAACATACTGCTACACAAGTGAAGACCGTCTCTGAGCAATTAAATCAAATCCCCCATGTAATTATTCCTTTTAACTGAATTGCATTCCTGAAGTAAAGTATGCTGCTCTTTCACTGGGCCTGTACAGGCCATCTGTTTACAGAATTTTGCTCATAACTGTTTTCTGCTAATATACTTATTCCCATGCCTTAATATGAGCTATCATGATTTCTTTCTGCTGCAGGTTGCCCTGATGACTGGACTCTCTGAACAAAGAACCTCTTGTGTCAGGTCAGTTCCTACCTTAAAGCCTAGGACAGGGGTGGGCAGCAGATGCCCCCCCAGGCCCTGCACAAGGCCTAGCAGTACCTGTAAACCAAGACTCCAGGAAACCAACAACAACCACCTCTCCCGGCATAGCAAACACCAACTGCCTCGCAATCAGCACCTTCCTCTTCACCACCGAACAGTTTCTAACTACTATAGCAACCCCAAGACCTTCAGTAGTCTCCAGAACTCAGGAAGACATTCAAGCAGGACTCCAAATCAAATACCATTGACTAATGGCTCAGTCATCAGACCGCTGAGTGAGAACCCCGGGGTCCTAAGGTTGTCCAGAAGAAGAAGAGGCCTCCCACCAGATACCAGCCCTAGCCCCCTGAATCGGGTTCCTTCGGACATCAACTCATCGAAGAAGTGCGGGACAGTGCAATGCGAAGACGGTGATGTCCCATTGGAGAGTGACTACCATACTGGTGAGATACTACAGAAGAAGATGGACTGTGCTAAAGATGGTAAAGAGGGGTATGTGAGTAATACTGGAGAAATCACTGGTAGTAGTCATGATGAAGAACTTAGACAAAATAGATGTGGCCGTGTTGGAGAGATGAGACTAGAGAGGGGCAGCTGCATTAGTGACGAACTACAGGACAAGGTGAATGTTAGAGAGTTAAGCTTGACCAAGGTCTCTGCTCTGGAGCCCTCTCAAAAAAGGGTCAACTTTACCAGCATTATCACAAACGTTGACATCAGCCCTGTCAGTGAGGTCATGTATCGACATGTCAGAGAAAAGAGGCTCCAGAGAAATCAGCCTGCTTCATCCACAATCCCTAAGCTAATTACCAGAACTGCTGATTCTAGGACTGTTGCCAGAGCTGCTACTGCTAGGACTTCTATAACTAAAGCTGCTATCAACTCAGTGACACCTATACACATACACACTGACCCACCAGCCACTTACTCTGCCAAGCACACTGCTAAGGGTACTAACAAAGGTGCTAGCAAGGACAATACCAAGTGTACTTCACCAGCCAGCAGTTACTCTATCCATAATTCTAAAGGTGCTGCAAAAGATACTTCCAAGTGTACCACAGAAGACTCGACGAAGGACATTGCACCTGTCAGTAGCTATTCTACCACTTCCGAGGGCTCAACAAAGGGCCTTAACCAGACAAAGTCTACTACCTCAGCCATCAAGACCAGGTCCAGCCCTAGAATCCTTCTGAAACATTAACAAACACCTGAACTATGTCTGAAAACATGTTCTCACAGATTCATTATTCGCAATATTTAGAATTGTTGAGGAAGACAGTTTTGAAAATAGTAAAAACAACATCAGATACTGTTGATCATTAGCACTGCATGATGATGGTTGTTGGCTGGTTGGATAGTAACCCGTGACTATGTACTGTTCTTTACATTTGTCAGTGATTGTGGGATTCATTTAATTCGATATAGGAAAATAAATAATGAGAAGAGAGCGTAATGGCAGACACTTTGTAAAATGGACAGTATAGTGAAAAGTCACTATTTTTAGATGGTCCCTTGCCGTATCTGAAAAAGTAGCTTAATATTTTTGTATTAATATATTCACATATGAAAGGCACTGGTTTAATCAAAGCACATAGTTTACTTGAGTCAGTCTACTGTACAGTTTTCAGTAGCAAAGGTTACAGTACAGTCTTGCCATTTCAGTTAAACAAGAATAATGGGCCTCATTCACCAACTATTCTGTAAAAGACATTTCTTCTTAAAAACCACTTATGCAGCTTTCACAAAGATTCTTACATTCACAACTGTTTCCTTATTTGGGATTTTTTCTTAGGTAAGAATGTACACATACTCAAGAGCATAGTAGTATTATTGACTTTGAATTACAATGAATTTTTATAATTCATAATTTTTTAAATAATCATTTTGATTATTTTACAAAAAGCATTATGGTTTTTTAAAATAAACACTCCACTTACAATTCAAACTAGTTATGTTAACGAGAACCATGTATCCAATGATTACTGTTAGAAAATATCACAGGCGGATAGGACAGCCGGGGCAGAAAGTAACAAAGCACCATTCTGGGTAGTTATTAATAACTCACAGAAACACTTCGTGAAATAGTCCACTTCCACCTATTCTCCCCCTCTTGCTGTCTCTCTTTAAACACTTGCAGCCACACCTTGGAGAATGCCACCATGCTCATCTCTGTCCTCAGTCCTGACAGTTGTGCTGTAATACATAAAGTTTGTGCGTGGGGTGGTTGATTAACACATATTTTTAGTATCCGATGCATCTTTTTTGTGCTATTTTATATCCACTCCTGACTCTACTAACAGTGACAGCTTGTTTGGTGTATGCTTCCTGCAGAAGCACGTTCACTTCAGAGCTATTGAAGTTTTTTCTGGAGTCCGTTGCTCCACCCTCTTTAGAGGTTGGACATTCTAGTCTTACTTCTCTCAACTTTTCTTCTTCTTTTTCTTCTTCAAGTTCTGTGTGCGCACACCGCACTGCAGTCTCATCCCTGCAGTCTCACATCATGAATCTGACGTAGACTTTTCTTAGGACCTTTCTTAAGAACAAATTTAAGAAAAAACTTTGGAAGGTGTTGGTAAATGAGGCCTAATATTTCAGATCAATAACATAAAAGTCCTACAGATTTCTCACTTAATACCCACAACGAATCAAAGGATAGGTTCCCATTTTTCAAGGCTGTCTGAAAACAATAGTCAAGTGCTCGTATAGATTTCAATTTAAGTTATGGACAACAAAATCCACAGTTCTGTGCAAAAACAAAGCAACGTTGAGCTGAAACTAATACAAAGCTTTAGTAGTCTAAGGACCCAAACACAACAAACCAACTAGTGGCAACAAAGGCCTCTGCTGTGTCGCTTTACATCCCCTGTGTCTCAACCAAAAAGTTGCACATGAGCACACTGCAAAGACTACAGGCAACGTATGTTCTAAACCTGCTTGAGAGGAAATAACACCAGCAGACAGTGGTTGTCTGTTATTGTCATTTAAAAAGGGAAACTGGAAAACTGCCAGTTAGCACATTAACAACACAATCCAGTGTTTAAAGTACAGAGCTTATTTTCCATGCACCAGTGAACAATACACAAACCATCAGGAAATGTTTCTGCTAAAGAGCTCAAAGAGCTCTGGATAAAGAAAATAATCTGACCTTATGGAACAAGTTTGTTTTGGTCTCACTCTCTCTGGACTTAAGCTGTTTGTTTTTGATTTTGTTTTTCACATCAGACCTTTAAGAAAGACTGTCTGCACTGTTATTTGCAAGTGATTAGATCGAATTTGTGTGTCTGGAAATCAACAACCAATCTGGATGGGTTACTATGGTAATGACGTGGTGTCAGTAAGTACGTAGCCACACAGGTGATGCAGCTTTTGGACAAGGCAGAATGAGAAATGGAGGCTAACAGTAACAGTAAATAGGGAAAGGGAAAATAAAGTAAGTCTCTGTCATGCAGCATTGCAGAGATATTTAGCATTAGTAACGTTATGTCTCACATGACATTTACCACCCCAATGTTAACTTCTTTAGTGTCCAGTATGCTCAGCTGGACAGTGACATCTTACAAGAGGCTCTTTATGATCTAATTTGAGCATCCAGACTGAGACACGTCTGTGGAAATGTGATTTGAATCCCAACCCAATCCCATGTGAAACCACTTCCAAATGTGGTTTGTATCTGATTTTCAAAAATACTCAACTCAACTCAAACTTTTATAGAGCACATTTAAAACAACCGGGGTTGACCAAAGTGCTGTACAGATTAAAAGCAGCACAGATGATAAAAGTGACCCATACAATACAGGAATTACAATAAATAAAATAAATACTCAAGTACATAAACACAGTGCTATAAAACAGAATAAAATAAATTAAAATTAAATTAAAATTTTGCCAGAAGTCCATTTAAACTCGATTAAAAGCCAAGGAGAAGAGGTGTGTCTTTAGGGAGGATTTAAAAACCTCAATCGATCCCGCAGAGCGGATGTGCCAGGGCAGGTTGTTCCAGAGCCTAGGGGCCGCCACCACAAAGGCTCGGTTGGTTTTTAGCCTCATTTTGGGGGTGACCAGTAGCAGCTGATTAGAAGATCTCAATGTTCTGGCAGGGGCGTGGATATGGAGGAGCTCAGTCAAGTACTGGGGGGCTAGGCCATTGAGAGCTTTAAAAACAAACAATAAAGTTTTAAAATCTATTCTAAAAGCAACCAGGAGCCAGTGCAGCGAAGCTAGGACAGGAGATATGTGGTCACGCTTGCGTTTGCCAGTGAGGAGACGGGCAGCTGCATTTTGTACCAGCTGCAGGCATTGCAAGAGTGAGTGGTCCGGGCCAAAGTACAGTGAGTTGCAGTAATCCAGTCGTGTGTTAATAAAAGCATGGATTACAGTCTCAAGATCTTTACGTGGCAGGTACCCTTTTACTTTCGATAAAATCCTCAAACGGAAAAAATTGTTTTTCACAACCGAACTAACCTGGCGATCAAATTTCTGCCTGTCATCAAATATTACACCAAGATTCTTCACTGATGACAGGATGTTTGGTGTAAAGGGGCCCAGAAAGCCAGCAAGAAAGTCTGCTGGACCACATCCAAACATTATGATTTCAGTCTTGTTTTCATTTAGATTCAAAAAGTTTGCGGCCATCCAGGATTTAACATCGTTTAGGCAATCAAGCAATGTCTGTACAGAGTCATTGGATTTTGATGTTAAAGGCAGGTAGATCTGAACATCATTGGCATAACAATGAAAAGAAAGATTATAATTCTTGAAAACTGACCCTAATGGTAGCATATACAGCAAGAAATGAAAATTGCATTTCATGTGGTTTTTGCTGCCCAGACTTTCTGTATCAATCTGAGTACTATCTGGATATGCCAAAAACCGGTTTGGGCTGGCAGTCTGAATAAGGCCTTAGTCTGTTGAATCAAGTGGGTATCTTCCAAAGATAGTCTTTTTAGTATGGGTTCTTCTCTTTGTCTTCCTGTCCACCTGCCAAAGCTCAACAGGAAAACACTTACCAGGGAACCAAAAAGGATGGATTTTGTACAAAATAGGCCATAACTATGGAATATATATCCACTTGATTTGTTGGATTCAGACTTCTGCAGCCCCATATTGACTTTTTACTATTGTGTGTGTTGTGGAATGCATTCATCCCCATTTCCACCAAGCAGTCTGGTATGGTACAGTTCAGTTCGGTACGCACTTTTTCCATTTCCACTGTGAAAAGTTGTGGATGGTACTAATGGAACCATTTCTAACTGTCCCCATTTTGGTCACCCCTCTTTTGGGTTACCTAGCACACAGATCTGGTACTAAAAGGTGGCGCTAGAAACACTGCAGTCCGTTAGATAGAGGACCGTCACTCTTGCTGAGCGCTGAGTTGTGGCATGAAAGGATGTTTTGCTGCCTCTTGCAGCAGCTGTAGACTGAGAAAAAAATAACTTAATTAATTAATAACACACCTTAAATTTCAATATGACAACTCTGACCATTCCATTAGTTTTTATTGTCCCTCTTGGATGACACACTTTAAGTAATGAGTGGATCTTCAAGCGTTTAAAAAAAAATATTAATTTCGACTGGATTATGTGAACTGCATATATTCTAATCCTCGCTTGGACAAAAATAAAAGCATTGTGGAGCGTGGTTCCTCTGGGCTCTGGCAGCACTAAACCCTTGCGCTTGCCCGAGACGGACTAAATGCACAAACTTGCTATTTTTACATATCCCACTGAGAGAGACTGTCACTGCAGCCTGTTCTATTTTGTTTTAAAAATGTTGGTGTGCAACCCTGTTCTGTGGACAATAAATGAGGTGCAGCCTTCTCTCTGTATCAGGGAGTGACAACAACCCTGCCCACATTTAAGAGTACTGTTTGTAGTGGAAATGCTGAATGGATCTAGTGTCTAGGTACCATGTCTGAAGGGTTACTTTTGGTTCTGGTACCATACAGAAAGTGTTTGGTGGAAAGGGGGCTTTTTTGTACTGTGACTGTGGATTTTGTCCTCCATCACTCACATTGAATGTGCATTAGGAAGGGCTTTATTATCAGGAGTAATGATAACATTGAGCAAAGTATTGTTTTAAGACAGATTTGAAGAAAATAAACCAATCCTATAAGGAGTCAGTGGCATGTAAATGGAAACATCCATTCTATCCACATCGACTCTTACAGCCACCAGTACCACCAGCTGTATATGTGAAACCAGCAGCACAATCACCAGCCGAACTGTCTTTACCAGCCTGTGTCATGTCAGAAGGACCTCCCAATCTACTGTTTTTTTTTCAATGGGTAGGATTTGTTTTCAAGTAGGTTACGTGTGAAGTATACAAGAACAAAACTGGTTTTTATTCACTCATTATTTCTTCTCAATAAATTCGCCTGTACTGTATGTACCACTCACAAGTACCTTACAAGGCACACAAAAGAGTATGGAGGGGGCCGCGTAATGACATGTGACATGCTTATTTCAGAGTCTGTGTGGATTAGTACACTTGTAAAAATAGAAGATATGTGTTTGTGAGGCAGGTGAGCAACAAACATATGAAGAAACGCCTCAGTAAATACTGGTGTCATGGTTTGTCCTTAGCTGTCAACATGGCCATCACATTGTAAGATAATTGACTGGATGAGTCCCCACACTAGAAATCATGGAAATGACTGAAACATCAGGAGGCTTTAAGATTATATCAGGTGCTATCAGGTGCTATTAGCTTGCTCATAAACATGGGAGGTTAAATAGAAGAGTGGTAAAATCACATGGCTGTGTAAAATAAAATTAATCTAACTCTGGTAACTCCAAATGAAAAGAAAAAAG